TGGACCCCAACGATGTTGCAGTATTTGTCCGCCCAATCCAGAAAAGATAGCTTGTCGGCATCCTGGTCGACGTGTAGTGCTTCTCGCGCATTCCTTAATTAGTTAGTTTCAGTTTTCGCTAGAGTTCGTTGCTAGTAACATCGCGTAGAACGCGCGGGAATTAACAAGACTCAAATGTGACTACCATCCGTGGGCATATGCCCATCATTGACTGAAGTAGCTTCGACAAAAGGAATCCGAAATACATAGACAGTCTTAACCACAGAGACCACAAAAATATCACCACCTTTCTGCTACTACAAAAGTAATCGACCCAGCCGACCGCACATACGCAGCACAACAAGGTATAAGCGCAGAATAAAATAATCTGATGTTCTTCTTCTCAGGTGCAGGGCTGCTGAAAATCTGGCTCACCAGATCCATATCTGAACTGGTCTCATCATCACTGTCATGGCTGAAGCTCAGACGACCCGGCATTCTTGATGGCAACGCCATTCCAAACACAAACACCAACTGTGAAAAAAGCATCATGATAGACCATGGAGCATGTCCTTTACTTCCTCTTGATTCAAAAGGGTCTCCTAAACGCGTTCACGGAGCCAAAATAGGGAAGCGGCCGCCGTTTGAAATGCTTGTGCCATGAAGCTGGACTTCTTGGTAGTGATGTTGGAGGGGGTGGGGCTGGGGGAGGAGAGGGGTGGTGGAAGTGGTACATGTGGTGGTTTTTGTGCGCTTGGGCCTAACCCTCGGGGCGTGCTTGCCTTTCTGGAACTGGTGGTTGTGGCGGTGGTGGTGGTGGTGGTGGTGGTGGTGGGGAAGGGGAAGGGGTTTGTCTAACACGTTGGTTTGGGCTGGGTGCGCTGAGTTTTTTGCTCCTGCGAACTTTGGCTCACCGACCCGGAGGTTGACTTGTTTTTCTGCGTGGTTGTTTCCATGGCTCAGGCTCCAGTAGGGCGGAAATGATTTCAATAAATGCATTTTTCATTACTGGCTGGTGTTGTTTTTTCATTGGCTCATTGAACTTTTTGTTTTGGTTCTGGTATATCTGACACGGCTCATGATATGATTGGCCGATTGTGGCTTATCATATCAAAAAGGTAATGTTGATGCGCGAGGTGCTTGTTTCCACGTAAGAGATTACAAAGTTTAGCCAGGCAACATGTTGGCATGTTATGGAGTTATGGATGCGCATATCCGATACTGTCATTTTCACATACCCACAATGGGGGCGCACTCTTAAGGCTGAAATCAGTTGGAATCAGTTGGAATCAGCACTTAATAGCATTTAAGTGTTCTGTTGTTGTTTTCCCTTTAGCTAGCCTTTGTCAACTCATCATCACATGGTCCTCAATATATTGCACATATTATATTCCTTCAAAATATTGCATGTGTTTTGCAAATAGTTCCTGGAACTCTGCAAATAGTTCCTGGAAATCTGCAAATAGTTTCTGGGTCCAAAAGCCAGAAAACAGAAAGGCCCAAATAAAGAGGCCAACGCCGATAGTAAAATATATAAGCATAATGTTTGCTTTTTCCTGCAACTTTCATGATCATCCTATGACTTTTTATGCTGCTTGGTGGTTGGGAAGGTCTGTTTTCCGGCTGCATCAGAGAACAATGCACTTTCGGGAAGCACCATGAGATTTTGAGGACTCTTGAGGATAAGGATTCACAGCAACCTGACATAAAGCCAACAGTGACCTGGTTGTGACAAGGATGGAATCACAGCGGACTCAACAGGAGATCGCTCCAATCGAACTGGGGGTTTAGGGTTACATATCCTCTGAGGATCAAGAGTTTGTGACTTGGTTTATGGGTGTTGTTTATGGCTATAATCCATTCCCCCTATTACTAAACTGTCCCCCCTGGTCCCCCCAAATAGTAAACACCTGGAGGATCCTGGAGCAATTTTTAGTATTAGGAAGTATTTAGTATTAGCGTGCAAAGCTTCCCCCTAATACTAAATTAAACCCTAGTATAAAAAACTTCAATTTTGAATTTCAAAATCGATTAGGTTTCCTTTTAAAATCTAATTAAAATATTGCCAAAAATTGGATTTCGAAGCTTTCCCCTAATATTAAATTAAAAACCTTAATATAAAAAACTAAAAAACTGTTTTCTATTTCCTTTTAAAATCTAATTAAAATATTGCCAAAATTGGATTTCGAAGCTCACATTGAATTAAAACCCTAGTATAAAAAACTTAAATTTTGAATTTCAAAATCGATTAGGTTTCCTTTTAAAATCTAATTAAAATATTGTCAAAAATTGGATTTCGAAGCTTTCCCCTAATATTAAATTAAAAACCTTAATATAAAAAACTAAAAAGCTGTTTTCTATTTCCTTTTAAAATCTAATTAAAATATTGCCAAAATTGGATTTCGAAGCTCATATTGAATTAAAACCCTAGTATAAAAAACTTAAATTTTGAATTTCAAAATCGATTAGGTTTCCTTTTAAAATCTAATTAAAATATTGCCAAAAATTGGATTTCGAAGCTTTCCCCTAATATTAAATTAAAAACCTTAATATAAAAAACTAAAAAAGTGTTTTCTATTTCCTTTTAAAATCTAATTAAAATATTGCCAAAATTGGATTTCGAAGCTCATATTGAATTAAAACCCTAGTATAAAAAACTTAAATTTTGAATTTCAAAATCGATTAGGTTTCCTTTTAAAATCTAATTAAAATATTGCCAAAAATTGGATTTCGAAGCTTTCCCCTAATATTAAATTAAAAACCTTAATATAAAAAACTAAAAAACTGTTTTCTATTTCCTTTTAAAATCTAATTAAAATATTGCCAAAATTGGATTTCGAAGCTCATATTGAATTAAAACCCTAGTATAAAAAACTTAAATTTTGAATTTCAAAATCGATTAGGTTTCCTTTTAAAATCTAATTAAAATATTGCCAAAATTGGATTTCGAAGCTTTCCCATAAGATTAAATTAAAAAAACCTTAATGTAAAAAAACTAAAAAACTGTTTTCTATTTCCTTTTAAAATCTAATTAAAATATTGCCAAAATTTGGTTGACGAGCTATATTGAATTAAAACCCTAGTATAAAAAAAACTAAATTTGGAATTTCAAAATTCGATTAGGTTTCTTTTGAAAAATCTAATTAAAATATTGCAAAAATGGGATTTCGAAGCTCCCCAATATTTAATTAAAAACCTTAATATAAAAAACTAAAAAAAATGTTTCTATTTCCTTGGAAAATCTAATTAAAAAGTATTGCCAAAAATTGGATTTCGGAAGCTCATATTGAATTAAAAACCCTAGTATAAAAAACTAAATTTGAATTCAAATCGATTAGGTTTCCTTTTAAAACTAATAAAAATATTGCCAAAAATGATTTCGAAGCTTTCCCCTAATATAAATTAAAAAAACCTTTAATAGAAAAAAACTAAAAACTGTTCTCTATGTCCTTTTAAAAGCTAATTAAAATATTGCCAAAATTGATTTCGAAGCTCATATTGAATTAAAACCCTAGTATAAAAAACTTAAATTTTGAATTTCAAAATCGATTAGGTTTCCTTTTAAAATCTAATTAAAATATTGCCAAAAATTGGATTTCGAAGCTTTCCCCTAATATTAAATTAAAAACCTTAATATAAAAAACTAAAAAACTGTTTTCTATTTCCTTTTAAAATCTAATTAAAATATTGCCAAAATTGGATTTCGAAGCTCATATTGAATTAAAACCCTAGTATAAAAAACTTAAATTTTGAATTTCAAAATCGATTAGGTTTCCTTTTAAAATCTAATTAAAATATTGCCAAAATTGGATTTCGAAGCTCATATTGAATTAAAACCCTAGTATAAAAAACTTAAATTTTGAATTTCAAAATCGATTAGGTTTCCTTTTAAAATCTAATTAAAATATTGCCAAAAATTGGATTTCGAAGCTTTCCCCTAATATTAAATTAAAAACCTTAATGTAAAAAACTAAAAAACTGTTTTCTATTTCCTTTTAAAATCTAATTAAAATATTGCCAAAATTGGATTTCGAAGCTCATATTGAATTAAAACCCTAGTATAAAAAACTTAAATTTTGAATTTCAAAATCGATTAGGTTTCCTTTTAAAATCTAATTAAAATATTGCCAAAAATTGGATTTCGAAGCTTTCCCCTATATTAAATTAAAAACCTTAATATAAAGTAGTTTTTTTTCGACCTTAAAAGACGGAGCCTAATAAAAAACACCCTGGGTTTGACTAGTTTTTAATATTAGGAGGTGAAACCCTGAAATGTGACCTTCACTTGTAATTTGCTTTGGAAAGGGGATCAATTAAAAATTAAATTGGCCAGTCTGAATTTTTCCAAAATTTAACGCGGACCCTAGTTTTTAGTATTTGGGTACGTTTAGTAAAAGGAGGTGGGGATTAGTCCAAAGGTGGCAAGTTTCACCATGGGTTTCTGCCATTCTTGGCCTTAAATCAATCCGTCAAGTGACACCAAGGAGAAGCTGAAGCAGTCCTTGCCCCCATCCCTGCAGAAGAAGGAGATCTAAGCGTCGAGCCGAGCAGGCACTCGGACCGTGGCGGTGTGGCAAAAAGTGGACCGCAGCTCGCAGCGATGATTTCCGTGCTGACATGACTTCCTGAAGTTGGTGGTAAATCTAAACACCCTGCGTGAACTGGGTACAGGCGTCAATATGTCCCAATTATACGTTTTGAGAATGCAACCTGACATGGCAAGTGAAAATGGTCACTTTCGATGGCTAAGTCATCTACAAATGGTGGATGTTCCATTGCTATGTTAGGTTCGCAGAAGGTACCCACTTAGTCCAGCAGAGACCTTGTAGAATGTGCCAGTTGCATCCAGTTGCCATTTCTTTTCAATGAAATGCGTAGTATGGCAAGGAGAACACGAAACTGCAGATCTGTGCCCTGCAAACCCCCAGTGAGCATCACACCCAAATAATTGGCCGCGAATTCGGTCCCTAGAACCGCCAATCCAAAGATCTCCAAATCAGTTTCTTCCCTTTCTGCCTCGACAGCATCCTGCGCGCGGAAAATCTGTTGCGTAGATGGGGGCAGCGAGAGCAGGATGACAGTGAGCCTTTGGCGCTGTGAGGGGTTGCATGGGTGGTGAGAAGTGGTTGGGAGGGGTGCGCCCTATGAAATCAATCAACAGAGATAACTTTATAAAACATCATGGAAACCCAGATCTGCAGTTTCCAACTTGGTTTCCAGAGATTCCATGCGATCAGTTCCGGACCCACGACTCAAATCAACAATTTGTTGTTCTAAAATGGTGGCCCTGCCCCAACTGGCCAACTAACCCTCTTGGAGGTTAGGTAATCGATCTGGGCAAATCATAACAACATCACCATGACGTCACTTCGATGGTGAATATGGTAGATGATCCCCACATGACGTCACTTCGGGCTTGTGATAATACTTTAAAGTGCAACCACATCATGCCAGATCCATATGAATCCAAAGTTGACATTTTCCATATTTTCCATGGCCATGTTCCTTTTAAAATGGAGGCCCCCTTTTAACTATACAGAAACCTAGATGATATCCATTCTCAACCTAGCCGCTACGCCATGTTCATTTCCGGAGTTTTCCGGGACTACGGATCCAACCACCAAATTCCAAGGGAGATCATGATGGGATAACGGTGACAAGTACAGTAGAACAATATATAACACTTGGTTGCAATTAATATCGCAATATATAATGCTCACATATACTTGATCATGTTTGATTACAACACTAACAACAGAAACTATATTGATAACAGTAAACCAATCAGAAGCACTACCAATCATAATAAATCGCAATCGCAATTAATCATAACAATTTCATGGTAATTCTTCCATGTTATCCCCAAGAATTCCTTGAAATACCACAAATAATCATGATAGTGTGGTACTGGTATCACAGACCCAAGGCACCACCATGAATGGGCAGTATAAACAAATATAAACCATCCCCAGTCATGGTAGGTTCATGGCCAGGCTTTCCCACTTTCCGGGACGAAAAACCCAGGATGGCCGGCCCCGTCGCATGGGCATGTCGGTCGCCTATGTTGGAGATGGTGAAGCCCCAGTGGAGGACAGATTTTAAAAGTCTAGGGAGAAAAAACACATCTTTGGGAAGATTTGGAACCATAGAATATATAGAATGGAAGTTATTTGCTATTGGATGGGATTTGTATGGATTTGAAAAAAAGCACCTTGCAGTGAAATGCCAATTTTGGTTTGGGGTCTGAGTTTAGGTGCCCCCAACATGAGAACTGTGTGTTTGACATGTGAGATTTTGATGTAGCTGGCGCTGTCTAGCATTGACAAATTTAGGGGTAGCTGAATAAGCTGAGGGATGGGCTTGGGCAATGGGTCAGAAACAGGCAAAATTGACAAAACCATGCAAAACTCCCGTAGAGCAGTAATCGGTAAGTAACTATAAGCGACTAGTGACTATAGAAGATATTATGGTAGCCAAAACATCCACATAACTAGAGCTAGAACTATAAATATAACTTACCCTGCCCTTCTCAGGCACTGAGCAAATGTATATACATGGCCCCAGTGCAGGACACCTTGCAACAGCAGGGCTTCCTCGCGCCCATCCTCGGCGCCGAGAATACGCCCGGGGTCGGCCCCAGTGGGGCGCAGGCTGACATGCATTGTTTGGTGAAAGATTTGGGGGTGGACTGGCGTTTTCCACCTTCGTTTTTGTTCCCTTTCTTTGCCAGTCTAACCGGGAACGGTTGCTGTCAGGCTTGGGCCTCCCTTGTGGCGCCCCGAATTAGCATTGCCCGAGAGCCCCAAGCGCCCGCGCTCAGCGCCCCTTCGCCGGAGCGCCTCCGCCGGGGGGTGCGGCCGGGAGTGCCACCGCGACCGGCCTCGGCCGGGCAGCGCCCAAAGAAGGTGCAGCAACGGCGGAGTGTGCTTCAACTGCAGTTGGGGCACAGGAAATGGCTGCGATGCTGGGAGCTTTGTAATTGTAAACATGCCTGGCGACTTGAACAGATCAAGAGTTGAGAAGACTTATGCTGAACTGGTGAAGCTGTTGCACAAAATCACAGCCACAAGCTGAGGTGCCTACGGCCACAATTTCGAATTCCGAAAGCGCAGGGATGGATGAGACACGTGCTGTCTTTTCCAGTGCGGATCCCTAGCGCCATTGAGGTTAACCCGCCAACCCGCCAACCCGCCAAAGGTCAGGCTCCCCATTCTTTCCGTCGGCTTTTTCATGGTGAAACGTCATTTTATCAGCTGAAACCCCGCCCATAAATCTTGGCATCAAATATGGCCTAAAATCCTTGAATATATATATATATATGTATATATATATGTATATATATATGTATAAATATATACATACGTACACGTATGTATATGATTTTGAAGTTCAACTGAGACATATTCAGAACACATGTTGATGCTGAAACCCACGATTCCAATCGATTCTATACCATAGTTTATCACCATGCTCAGCTTATTTTGCAGCATTTTGGCCACACAAATCATGGGGGTTCAACATGCACTTGTTGATAGGCCTCCTGTTTCTACCCATGGTAAACCCTTCAAAGGACGGGTCTCCTTTGGGTGAAATCTCAGAAATATATACGTATATATACTGTAATCCGCATCATATCCCCATTGTTCCTGATTTTACCAAATTTGGATGGTTCATCTAAATCACCACTTATAAACCATTGGCTTGAATCCTCATGATTTAAATCTACAGAATTCCCATGATATCCCCAGGATGTTGCATTTGCATCGGTCAAAACCCATCATTTTCCCATGGTTTTTTGTGGCCCCGGCGGCTCCAACAGCAACTTTCCCAGGCCCGGAGAAGGCGGAGAAGGCGGAGAAGGCGTTGGCCTCGGCTGCGGCCGAGATTCAGGCGCTCTGCGACAGCTGCAGAGCGGCGCTGGTGGTGAAGACCCAGCGCCTCAGTGGAGATTTTGCCATGAAGACTTGGGAGTTACCCTCTGGTAATTTAACATGGCTAATTATATGGAAAATCACTACATTTAACAATACTTAACATAGCTATTAACATAGTAAGCTATTAGCTATATGGAAAATCACTACATTTTTCATTACGGTAAAAAAATACGAACTTAGACTATGGCCATGTTCAATAGCTATGTAACAAATTACCAGAGGGATCCAGAGGGTATATGAGCGTAACCTGATTTCAATGTGTTTTTTTTTAATGATTTTTGGCATCAAGACTTGGATGCCATCACTTGAAGATATTTGAAGATATGGCAATTTGAACGGACTGGAGTTGAGGTAGTGAAACCTCGCTTAGGATGGTCCTGTTGAACCTCCCTTGGGGGAGGGTCGCCGTGGTAGGGCGTTGTCTTTGAATCAGTTTTAATCATTCTTCTGGAATATTCATATTGAATATATATGGAATATTGACTTCAAATTTGCTTCTTTTGCAGGATTTCCTGAAGTTCCCTGGCAACATTTGTTGAGCAGGATATCATGGATATCGCATAGAAATTGAGACATGGAATGTAAAACTAGCCAAGACAAATCATGACAATATCATCCAAATCCAGTGCTCCAAGATTGTGTATGATTACCTCCATTACCAACCCTAGTGACAAACCCCTATATAGGGCTTTATCACGTATTTTGTTTTTTTAACATCCAAAAGCACCCCTTACAATGTAGGAACCATATTAATCCAGTGCAAAGGGTACATGTGGGTGCCCAGTGCTGAATGGATCAACCCCATTCATCCCACTTACCACCAGGTCTCTCTCTCTCTCTCTCTCTATCTCTCTCTCTCTCTGTGTCTATATGTACTCTGTACTTATGCATAATATACACAGCGTAAACCCAACAATCAACACTTTCCCATACTTTCCCCAATTCTTGGAATATCTTGGAATGTTGATCCATGTTGATCCATCATGATCCATCCAATATATATATGGAATGTTGATCTTCCCATATCTTCCCATATCTTTCCCCATAGCCATGGGATGCCATGGCACCAAGGTATGGGACCCAGTTGGTCACAGCCAACTTTGATGACAAGGAGCCCAGACTGGGCGTGCCGAAGTTCCTAAATAACAAATTCGGAAGTATAAGGCAGCTATATATATAATATAATATTATATCCCTGGTTGTATCGGAAATAGAGTGAATGATTGGTTCTTCTCTTACGTACCCAAACATTAATCGATATATATATATATATTGGGTATACGGTATACGGGTATTATACGGGTATAAGCCCACCTGGTCCCCTAATTCCCTAATCCCGGTGGTGCCTGAAACTTACAGGAAAGACATCCTAAATTTGTCTAAATTTGATGTTTTATCGAGATTTTGACTCAATTGTTAAGAACATACATGTGCAAACCCGCACACACACACACACGCACTATGTACATAAATACATACGTAAGTACGTACGCACGTACGTACGTACATACATTATATATATACACACGTGCACAAAGTTTTATACATTTTATTACGGCAGTTCTTCAGGCAGCAAAGATATGCCGATGCATATGTCCGCACACAATACTAGGAGCGAAGAAGACGAGCCACACGAGGACTCAAAGTAGATGCTTGGCATATGATGATGGGTCAAAACAGCTTGCACCCTCCAGGTGAATCAACATGGATTTGGTATCATTTCCAAACAGGAAACCATTGGTTGTTTTCCACATCATGTTGCGAATCTGTGATTAGTGACGAATTTTCATCGCCATTCGTACGGGGAAAAACCATGGGGACCCATGCGGTTACCACGGCTACCATTGGGGGATGGGGCAACCGATGGCCGCCTTTGCTACGCCGGGGCAGCTAAGGACCTCAAGGCTCCAAAGCGCCAAGCTCAGATTAGCGCAGGGATCATGGCATCATGGCCATACACACACGAAAATCACGAAACCAACAGGGTAGTTTGGTACTTGAACAATCTTATGAAGTAAATCGGGGGTATATACGAACCAACTACAGTACACACACAGATATATATATATATATTAATATATATAAATATAGTATATTATACATATACATATGCATGTTTTTCAGGGCATCCGAGATGGATCATGTTGATGGCAGATTCTGTTTTGGGATTAAAGGTGAAGTTCTAGATTTGGCACCCTTGAAATTGCAAGATTTCGCCAATGAACATACGTTTGTGAACCAAGCATGTCAAACGGGAAGAAGAGATGTTGACCACTTCCTGCTTGAAAATGGACAAGGAAATTCGGACTTGGAAAAAGCGAATGACATCACCCATGTCCTCAGGAGAAAGCCTCCGAAACCATTTCCAGAGAATATCTTCAAGGAAAGTGCCGAACATTTGCCGAGCCTTGCTTGATATATAGATATATCACATATCCACTAATTAATTCCAATCCAGATTAACAAGCCACCAGTTTACAATCGGGGGGGTTCCCAATTTTAATTGAATTTATCACCGGTTTTGGATAGTTTGGGGTAATCTCCTTAATTTGATCAACACAGTTTACCAATCCGGGGTTGACATATTGTATTAGTAGATTTAACTTCACCATTTTGAATCATAGTAATTTAGCGCAGTTTTACATGGGATATGCGGCCATTATTCTATTAGTTACAATGTGGTGCCACCCCAGGTATGTTTGTTGGACGTTGTTGGTTTACAGCCCAAAGAAGTCGTTAGATATCTCTACGTTAAGCCCTAGTTGTTAACTATAGTTGGTAATACAGTAGTTGATTACTATATGCCCCACGATAATTTTTAAATACTACCAGCCATAGGTATACTATAGTTGATGGATAATAAATACACCACTATAGCAAAGTTGGTTAAGCATAATATATATATATACCCATAGGATCCATGTATGGTATATATGCTAACATTGGGGGTATATTGATGGTAAATGTTACCATATATACCATACATGGATCCTATGGGATATATATAGCTGACTATAGTTGACAATGAATTACTTTGCTGCGTTTTTGGGGTTGTTATCTGTTTTCAACGCATCCGTTTTTGGGCCGTTTACCGTTCTAAGGAGCTGGAGCAAAGGTGTCTTGAGCACCTTACGGGAAGGCAACGAGGGGCTGGATGAAATGGAACGCTTCGCGAATCGTGTCAAGGTCGGGTGGGGTGATGTTCCTGCGGAAAAAATGTTGGACATGTTGGAAATGTTGGCACTAAAATGGTGATTTTATATATGGGTTTATAACCTAGGATGGCAGTTGTAACTCTATAATTACAGCTGCCATAAACATCCATAAACCCTAGTTATTGCTTATATATATATCACTATATATAGTCACTATAGTTATTGGTATTATCATAGTTTTTTCCCATTGTTTTTTTTTAAATCCCGGCGGTACCAATCCCATATGGGGCACGTCGTGTTTCATCACTAGAATGATGGGTAGGATTGAGGGGAATTACCGACAAATGGCTCAACATTTCAGCTATGTTCATCGATTTTCAGGTTAATGAATTAATATAAGCCAGAAAAAATCTGCCAGAATAGATCAGAATAGATATGATTTTTTGATCCATTAATTAAGTTCCATTCTATTCCCATCAAATCCCATAGATACATAGCTAGTAACCGGGTAAACTACTAGTTTGCTGTGAAAATCAGCATTGTTAATCGGTAGATCATCTCTCAATGAGCCATTTTCTGTGGCTATGAGAGTTTACTGGAAGGGAATCTGCATATCCATGAACATCCGTCACAAGCAAGTCTCCGTGACTCAGTGCTATTGCCCCGCCACAGGATGTTGACGAAAAGCTAAAGGTCTTGGAAGAGCCTTGGTCCAGGGGGTTGCCAGCAGCCAAGAAGGAAACCTCATCCTTCGACTGGAGAAATGAAGTGAGTTGTGTCAGGATTTCATTGAGCTACAGAAGAATATGTGACCAGCATTGACCAGCGTGATCCTGTATAATTTATGTATATAATATGTATATATATATATATGTATTATGTATATATATATAATGTATATATATATAATGTATATATAATATATATATATAAAGTATATATATATTTATACACAACTTTGAACCCTTGTCAGCAACCAGCGGAACTGACTGAAAAGGGCCTTGCAACGCTGGTTGAATGGTGGATAATCCCATCCTTAAAAATGGTCCGAAAACCCAACAAGGGACTCGTATGGATTCGGAAATTTTCATTTCCCAATCCCAGGAATCCCAGGTTTGTAGGGTGGTATGTTACATACTGCTATATTCAGAGATATGTATATTGAATATTATTGAATATTGGAAGATATTAAGGGGATTCGGCAAACATCATAGTTTTTCTGCTCAAGAAAACGGGTTTCTTAGGTTTCTTCCATCAATCTTCCCTTGCTTAGCCCAGGAACAAGCTGCGGATCTGAAATCGGAGCCGGAGCTGGATGATTTGCAGGCAGCCTGGGAAGGGTTGGACCTGGGAATTTGTGAAACATACGAATTGGTGATGAATGAATTATCTACATATCCTATAAATGATCCTGAATTCAATGATATTCAATGGATATTCGGATATTCAATGATATTCATCCCCATTATCTTAAAAACATCTCAACGATATACAATTTTGTTGTGATAAACGTTGCATATCATTAATGATAGTTGGGATGCATGATGTAACCCGGTGTTTTCTATGGATACCACGTTATCACGGCAATGTCATGAAGGCGTTGGGAGTTGTGGAGTTGATGCTGCTGCTGCTGCTGCTGATGATGATGATGATGATGACGATGACGATGATGATGACAACGACTCCAATTAATCATGATCATAACCCATAGGATCCATGTATGGTATATATGCTAACTGAAGCGGATGTTGACAGCGGTGTGCCATTGGGTTTTCAGATTTTAACGTTGTTGATATGATGATGTTGCCCATAGCTATTACATGGAAATCTATGTTTGTTTAGGAAACAAAGTTAAAGATCTGGGAGGCCGTGTGCCATGGTGATTCCTAAATATATCCTTTGAAAACATAGTTAATTACTAGTAGCATACATGGATCCTATGGGTAATCATCATGGTACTGTATCCATTCCTATATATTCCTATCCAATGGATCAATGGATACCCCAAATCTTCCCGATTTCCTCGGAAGTCTCCCACATTTCCCAGGAAATCAAGCCCATGGTGGTTCGGCGCAAGGACCTGATCATGTGCCGGCCATCTCCGGCCTACTCTTCCACGGTTGCAATCATATTGCGAAACTCCACTGGTTTGCCCCACTACAATTGGCAAGTTTGAAAAACGGCAAGTTTCAAAATGTATGTCCATTTGACCGTGAGATTCGTCTACATATGTGACTCTGACCTTCATCGTGCCCTTAAGTGGGAACAGAATTGCAGCAATCTCCTTAAATTACCTTTACTATTGCGGATGAAACTCATGTACCCCAACACGTGTTGCTACCCACTCAATGTCCATTCTTTGCAACTCAACTTCAAGTCTGAGCTTTGCTATGCTTTGCTCCTCAAGTCTCCATGGCTTTTCAAATTTTCTTCACCATATTTTTCACCATTTTTTCACCAGCTTTCAACAGTTACCCTCTGGTAAACTAACATAACTATGGAAAATCACCATTTATAGATATTTATAGTGGATTTTCCCATGAAAAATGGTGATTTTCCATGGCTATGTTAGTTTACCAGAGGGTAAAACATCTTCAAAGCCCATCGTCACCAGGACAGCATCAGCATGATGCGCCGCTGGAGTCGCAGCATCAGCCCGGACGACTCGGGGAACCCCTTCGTGGCCGAGCTGCCGCGGCAAGGCGTGGGATATGGCTTGACTTTTGGATATGAATGGATATGATGATTAGTTGTAATATGTTGCAATGTGTTGTAACTCCGTACGCATATAAACAATTGTAATCATATGTATATAATCTGTATATACATAATATTTCATAGATCTGATTTGAACTTTAGGGACATTTCCAGTACTGGAGGACGGCCGTTAAATTCGTTGACGCGCACGATGTTTTGAGTCGCATCAGCTCTTAGGGGTGACCGGTGACGGGTCTGAAGACGATGTGGGGTTTCCCCATGGGGAAACCTATGGAAAACAATTTACAAATGGTGGGTTTCCCACAGCTCTGTTAGCTTAAATAGAAGTGGTTAAACCCCTATTTAACCCATATTAAACAAATGTGGGTTAAGCTAACAAATGGTAGTAAACCCCTATTTTTGAAGTTGGGATTGTTACGATTCAACCATCCCAAGGGTAAACATCTCCCATCATATCCCTGTTTCGTAGGAACGCGAGGAAGTTGTTGACTGTCACTATGAAATAAAGTGAAAAAGCGTGGTGCATTATGATAATTTGCCCTGTAAATAATAGGTGCATATACGTGTAAATATATTTTTTAAAAATGTATACACATAACAACACCCATTATATTATGGTTGATTTATACACCACCTTCTGGTAGTTTGACATTGCACTGGTAAATGACAGCATTCCGAAATTCTTTGTTCAAAACCTTGTTTGGGTTCTATATATATCTTCTGATAATTCCACATGGCGCAGATGGACAGGACAATTTCTAATCCAATGGTTACCCTCTGGTAAACATACAAAAAACTATGGAAAATCACCATTTTTCATGGGAAAATTCACTATTTCTATGGCCACGTTTCGTGGCTAAATTACCAGATCTTGCTGAATCCTTGCTGAAGGCAGCCGTCGCACGGCGCACGTGGCGAATTTTCAGAATAGCCTGGACCCGCCACGGCGAAGTCTCTGGGCGGACAGGGGCAGCCATGGGAGTCTGGGAGTCAGGCCATGACCTCCCGGTAAATTATCAGAATGATATGGAAAACACTACAGTTTCCTGTTTGGAAAGTGATGTAAACTTCGATCAAAGCTATGAATTTTGAATTTTTGGCCCGTCCTGATCATACAGTATACATCATACTACGGCCACATCTTTGGATGACAGGGGAGAACCAGAGCCAAACTCACCGCAAAGATACGGGAGATCTGGGAACATCTACCATCCTCCAAACTAACATAGACGCTGAGAACCAACTATTTTTGGAGGAAGATAAGGAAGGTACTCTTCCGATCCTCTATCTGGCAGGGTCGATGTTACTTGTGGGGATGGTATATTATGTATATCTATAATATATACATATATATTAATTATGTATGTGTGTGTATGTTATAGCTTATTTATATACATATCATATCTGTATATACACTGACGCTTTGCCCACTTGAACTGTAACTGGCACGAGCGAGATCCATTTTATCACTGGGCAGCTGAGTTAACCCCTGAGAACCGGGGATTGCAAGTCAACGGAGTCAGGGCAACTCAATAAATCAACCAGTACCCTCTGGTAAACATACAAAAAGCTATTGAAAATGGCCATAGAAATCATGGATTTACCCATTAAAAATGGTGATTTTCCATAGCTATATTAAATTACCAGAGGGTAATCATTATGTGTATAGTTAATTTTTGGGTCAAGAGTCAAGAGTGAGTTAGCTTATCTCATTAATTAATTTTATTGACTTGCCTGATCTGAAGATGGCAAAGTCATTCAGGGGATAATTCCGCCAAAGCCAGCAGCGAAGATCATGTGGAGGGCGCAAATATTGTAGGCATTTCTACCATGTTGGATGACTCCAACTGCCTAACTCACTTTGTGAGGGGGGGGTTCAATTGTTACAGGGTATAGTTGGTCATAAGAATCAACCCAGCTCAGTTTGGTCTTCAATGTTGCCTTAGGCGAATCCTATCGCGCCCGGGGGCCCTCAAAAGACAGCGACCTCTCTTCTACGAGATCGAAATCTTCGGCTGCTGGGCCGGAAAGTCTATGGAAAACACTACCAGAAGAACTGTGATGTGATGTGAATTTAGACAACAAAAATTAGGTGTAAAGTTTCAGCCGACAAAAATGGGATGGAAGCGCATTTGTCGAGTGGCTGGCATCAATTATTCAGTAAAAACATGTTTACATAATTGTGTTCAAAAAATGAACCAGCGTCCAGCCGAGTGCATGGCTACAACAGAAGTATTTTCAGGAAGGAAAATGGCGATGCAACGTGATGTAACGAACTTACAGAGAACCATGATCTCTCACATTCTCTCACTAATTATGGTTTTATGTGTTGTTCACATTTTTCACCTAGATATAGGATGCTATAGCCTATTAACATCTATTAACATTATTAACAAACGGAGATGCGAACCATTGAATCGAACCATTGGTGCAGCCGAGGCGAGAAACGCGGTGATGACTGAGCTGGACGGTCTGTTGGATCACTTGACCAAAGATCCCGCCGAGGCGTCGGGCCGAACAGCATGTGGTACACTTCCCTGATGAAACTCATTGTATGGAAATTCTATGGATTCATATGGATTCATAATTGATTCATATGGATTTGGTTACATGGTATTAGATGTTATTGCCAATTCTTCCACACCTATGATTCGCCTACGGTGGGATGTACATCCAAGGAAAAACCCTATGATAAGATCTTGCAATTGGATGCAATTGGCAAGGGGGCCCATATGTTGCGACTGATCAGATCTCCACACGTCGAGGCTAGTTTTCCAATGGTGAACGGTCACCCAAACCCTTGAAATTCCTGTGAAAAGTAACGCATCGATTTCTCTTGAGCTGTTACTTGCATGTAATGTAGTGTCAACCCTGGATTAATATGGATTAATAAAGTCTGTTGCCTCACTAGGTTTTTTTTTTCTCACCCAAAAAGCGAAAATATGGAGGTTTAGTATTCCTGGAAAACTGTCCGACCGAAAAGATATATGATATATATATATGATGATGACTAGATGCAAGAATCGCCAAACAATACTGTATATTACTGTATAGGGGTTTCTTGAAAATGCGAGATCCCCAAAACCATGGGTTTCAATGCTAAAATATAGCAACAGTTTCCAATCTTGGATGCTTTGGGGTACCACCATGTTAGGAAATCTCCATATATGTGTTTCATGGTTCGAAAATTGTAGAAGTTTGATGTAATAATATAATAGGAGCCCATGTGTCTTCCTGTATGTTCCCCTTATTCTCTGGTAACTTAATGTTGCCCATTTATAGATGATGGTGATTTTCAAGCAAGGGTGATTTTCCACGGCCATATGTCACAAATTACCAGAGGGTAATGCTCCCAATTTATGGCAAGTTTGCATGTGGAACTGATAATTTAGTCATATTAGAACGATCAAAAATGGTATATGGTCATTTAACACAGAAATACTTACAGGATTGTTATCCAATGATCCTCCTGTAAGTTTCCAGCATTTTTTCATGCCCTAAAAGTGACATTGCCAATGGCCCAGCCCAATTCCCAATTCTTTCCATCAACTTTCCATCAACTTCGGCAGGAAGGCTTCTCAGCAGCGGAGGTCACGCGATTACGAGCGGGCTTCAAACGCTTTATGATGCCCGGAACCATTGATGTCCACAAAGATGACTCCTGTCGTGGATTTTAGCCCGGTGTCCAGTTGGTACACGCAATAACCATATTTTACCTCAGTTATGTATATGTATATGTATATATCATATATCATATATAGGTTATGTATAGGTTTTGTAAGTTTTGCATAGGTCCCATTTGCTCCATGTATGGAATATAGCCCTACATGTGGGTCATTTTTTGGGAACATGTTAGGAACTAGTTCATACATGGAGCATTGGGTGCTTTATTTAAAATATATGCATATAATATATGTGTGTGGGTATATATATAGGTTCTCTAGTTCTATGTCGATACATAGCATATCCGTGAATATCACATATATATATATATACCGATTATAATATATATATATATACATAGCACACACACACATATATATACATTTTTGTCGGAGCCGTGGATCCCAGGACGTCTTCGAACTGCTGACCTTTTTGGGCTGCGTCTTTCTGGATCCGCTGACGGTCAGAGACCTCATGGCGCCTGGGGCAAAACGATGGATTGTTTTGCTGTTTGGTCACCCATTTTTACATTTTTTTGGGGGTGAAACAACCGATTTTCTATCATGTTCTATCATTTTGTTTTGGCAAAATGATAGAGACAAGCGATTTTTTGATTGAACAACGATAGAAAAGTGATTCTTATATTATTTCTCACTATGTTCAGCAGGATCTTATATTATTGTATACTTTTTCTATACTTTTTTGGGGTTGCGAAATACAAAAAAAAACGTTCTGTATTTTCCCATTGAACATTGAGCCTTGGTCACTGGCCTGGCTCCGCTCAGTGATGGATATATGATGATATATGATTATAATTGGATGAACATTGTAACATCCCCAAAATTTATGGTATTGAATTATTGGTCAATATTTCAGTTTGACGTATACCAACTGTATATTATATATATACATATATATATGCCAAAATAAAGTCCTGCGATGGTAGCAGGTCCCCCAAAGCTGCGGCGTTGCAAGGATAAGACAACTCGCTTCGACCATTTGGGTTTTGATGATTTTGAAGCGTTTATGGCGCCTTGGCTGGGAAGCAAATGGGATGAAAAACCACTGACTGGTGATTAAATCAACCACTGACTGCGGACTGAGAGTGGGTATGTGTAATGTGTAAGTCGGTGTACAAGTTAGGTTGTGCAAAGAGGATGTAGGGTGGAGATATATGGAGATATGACATCCCCGACCATGTTAGTCCCGCTTAAATTGAAGGAGTCTCCTCGGCACTACTCATTTTGTTCAGTTTGTTTGAGACCCCCACCGGCCCGCACTTGAGTCCTGCCAAGGGCAAATACACCCGCTACTGTCAGAGCCAGCCACTTGCTGTGAGAAGAGTGAGCTGGAGAGCTTGTTTGCACTGATGAAGATTACGATGGTGACGATGGTGGTGGTGGTGGTGATTAATCTTAGATAGGATAAATTGGCAGGTTGAGACGCGTCCTTCTGGGGTTTGAAAAGTGCTGAACCTTGGAGCACCATCTTGAGTCGTCCAACTCTGAAAACTCATATTATAATTTGTATAGCTGTGGAATGCTGTGGAAATCCATTGCCATATATTGCCATAGCTTTCCCCAAATGGTCTACCCATGGTGGATGTTCCATATGTTAGTTTGCTGGAGGCTAGTTGTTTCCTTACCTTTCCCCTCTGCGTGGAAGATCTCTGAAGTTCTGGAAATGTGCCGCAACCAGAGTGAAAAAAACAGCTCTCCAATCCCAATAGTCCCGTTTGAAGCTGAACCCCCCCCAAAAAATAGAAATAAATGGTAGAATTAGGATGAATTAGGCATTTTTGTTTGGTTTACCGCATTGAATGCATTGAATGGATGAAGAATGGATGAAGAATGGATGAAGAATGGATGAAGAATGGATGAAGAATGGATGAAGAATGGATGAATGGATGAATGGACCTCAGCAAACCTCCACCAAGGTACCAAGCAACTGGGATCGCAGCTGCTTTGGGCAAGTCGTGGCGATTCCGGGATGACTCCAACGTCAATTTCATCAGAAATGATGGGTTGAGTAAGGGAAACCACCCCGAAAAGTGGTGGCTTGTTTATCTTGTTTCAGGTCTGAAGTCATCATGACAGTCGAACCCCGCAAGATAGGTAGGTTGGGTTATAACATGTTATAACTAGGCGAAAAAAATGGGGGGCCAACCTTTTGAGATTAGACTCCATCATCCCAAATATATTGTCACCACCCCACGAAGACCGAGTCCCTGAGGTCATCTTCGACCAGTTCGATGCCGACGAATCTGGCACCATTTCCATGGAGGCAGCGAGGGGATGGCGTCATCGTTTTTGCCACCGATATTAGGAGGACATCCTGACATCCTCGAGTAAATTCATGTAAAAAAAAGAGATAGATATGGACAACTTAAACCTCAACAAACCATGATTTCAGTCGATCATTTTCCTTGGAAAACCTGGGTCTTTCATGTTGAAAAAGCTGGAGCGCACGGCAACGCTTGCATTTTTTTCCAGCTCGACATGATCAGCCATGGCAGTGGCAAATTTCCCTATACAAAGTGGACGTGATTTGAAGGTTGAAATGCGTACCTACCACAAAGATCCACAAAGTACACTGTAGATTCACTGTAGATGAATGCTTTGGGGGCATCAGTCTAGTGACAGTCTAGTGATTGCGCAGCGCATCGCAGCGCACAAAGTGAAATTCCTTGATGCTTGAGATTACAATCCCAGAATTGTTTGAGGGGAAAATTTGCAGCGAACCCTACATTTGACGACACAAATGGGCTCCTGTAAAAAGGTTTGGCATTGAACTATCACAATGAACATTTTGATGACTGGTGCGGTCCATATGATCAATATTTATAGGATTCTGATGGATTTGTGTATTCCATCATTCTTCCAGATTGAGAGCTATTTGATACTATTTATATATATTTATATGTTATTCTATGGTTTATCAGGTGTATCAAAGAAAATTATGTACTTTAGGGTTTTTCATACCACTTGGCGCTTTCTGAAGTGATCAGTCGGACGTCCCCATTTGTTCCGCCAAGTTGTGCCCAGGAACTGCGGGAAATGACGCACCACTTGGGATTCATGCCAACGCGTCTGATGCTCGAGGCGGATTGGATCACTGGTGAGGAAAAGCCACTGTATAAAACAGTGATTTTTGATGTATGATAATGGTGGTTTAATGGTGGTTTAATGGGATTTAGTGGGATTTACTGGTAATTTAATGGGATTTACCCTCTGGTTATGACTAACATAGCCATGGTATAGATGGCCCATAGAAATAGATGGTTTACCTATTATAAATATGGTGATTTTCCATGGCTATGTCAAATAACCAGATGGTATATATATATAGAGAGAGAGACAGAGATGTAAGATCATATAAGATGATATTACTTATAACATCTTATCACATCTTATTATCACATCTTTTATTTGGTTTCCCTGGTACGAAGGCATATAGATCGGCAGCCCCTCAAGTTCAATGGCGCACCTGAATCTGAAAACTCAGGCTAGCAACACATATTATATCATATTATTTTTCTTGGATTAATGAATTGATATTGTAGAGGCAGTTCTTAATTTCATTCGTGAACCCCGTGTCGATTACTCTTATTTTTATTGCTCAAGTCAGCCGTGCAGTGCTTGTTCCCACTTGGCTTTGCTTCAGTGTTTTTTTTGAGTGAAATGTGCACATTTCCTCCAAGACAGAATCAACTATCCCACGTTTTCTTATCGAGAAGCAAACACGTTTTTGCTTGCCAGTTCAATGGGTTTCTTTGAACTTCTATATTTAGAGTTTAGGGAATGTTAAATCCCAACGTTTGTTGCAAACCATGTTCTACCTCCAATTTCTTGGCTTGCATCTTACAATCCCTCACGAACAATCAATAGCGGCTCTCAGCGAAACATAGAAAAACAAGGAACAACCGTGGAAGCACCATGGAAAAACCATGCAAGAAACATAGAAACACATGGAAACACATGTAATAATTGTTGTAAATGTCAACCACGCAGCACTAAAGCCGTGCGGTGCTAGGAAGCTGTCGAAGTGGCCTGTCGCAGTCGCAGGGCAGCGGCCCTAGACACTTGGAAAGCAACAGGCGGTGGATTTTCTGCATAGATGCCGTACATAGGTATGGTAATCCCCAAGAAGATGGAACAGATTGGAACAGTAAAATCATACTAACACACACACATTTTTATGTGTATATGTATATAATATAGAGTGATAAAGGGGGCACACCATGAAAATTGCAAGTTCAATCGTAAACATTATGATCAACCATCAAATCTGAAAGTACTGCATGCTCACAATGCCTTGCAAGGGGAGCCCCTGTGACAGTTGTGTTAGTTGGTTTCCTGTTTATACACTCAAAAAACAAAAAATGCTAAAAGACTATCCATTCACTATCCATTCACTATCCATTGATGGTTGTTACTTAGTTTAACGTTACTCCCAGTTTTGATGAAAATCCCATCTGGGGCTTCGGACGATCCGCGGCCGAGTCCTTCAATGAGCTGGTCCAGTTTCTGATGATCTACCGGCGGCGCGAAGGCTTCTGTCGGGAGGAGGCAGGAGACCCAACCGACATCAACCGACTGGATGGCTATTTGAATCCTGGATGGTTTCATGTTTGCCTGGTTGGTGGTTTGGAACATTTTTTATTTTTCCATATATTGGGAATGTCATCATCCCAACTGACGAACTCCATCATTTTTCAGATGAAACCACCAACAAAAAACAAAAAAAACCAGTTGCTATGAATGGAACAAAATTGTCATAGCATCAGCAACTTTGGATACCGGTAATTTCACATAGCAAAGGTTGACATCTTGTAGCTTTAGTTCGGTAAATGATCGCACTAAATGGTCCATGGCTTCCATATATGCTCCATGTATGGTATATTTACCTACATTTGGGTGATTTTTGGGGTAAATGATGGTTTCCATACATGGAGCATTTGGGTATAGCAAACTGTCAAAGTGTTATGTGTGGATGTGTGACAAAGCTTTGGAGAGCGATGATGGATACCCTCTGGTAAACAAACAAAAAACTATGACACATCACCATTTTTAATGGGAAAACTTACTATACGTGGCAATTTTCAATAACTTTTTGTATGTTTACCAGAGGGTAGGTACTTGGATTATTTGGAACTTTGCTTCGGTGAGATGATGGAGTATTCGGAATACCATTTTAGATGGAAGGATATGTACACTCTGGTAACCTAACATAGCGATGGAAAATGGATGAACATGGTCTGTGAGAGAGGATTGTTTACGAAAGATGGTGGTCTTCCATAGCTATGTTAGATTACCGGAAAGTATTCGCGTACACGTATTGTCATGTAATTATTCATTGTGAATGTTTTTTGGGGTCATGCACATTCGGTAAACAATATATGTCTGATGCCTGCGCAGATACACGCATAGATGTGCATGAACGCAATCCGATGACTTAGGGCTGGGATCGGTGTCCATCCCATTGAATTGGATATTGGGGATGGCGCCAAAAGCGATGGGCAGAGGGTGGGAGAGACTTTGGCAACGGTTTTGGTAAGGTGCCCATACCTACACCACGTGGACAAATGAGGACAGATATGATGTGGTATATAGTACAACCTTGCATTGGGTGTGGCTGTGTTCAGTATTTGGGGAACCCGACGTCTAGCAATCTGCCATGTGGATCTTTTCGGGACAGAACATCGTGCCAAGATGTCACTCCAAACCCTTTAGCCGCTTTAGCCCATAAATGTTGTTGTTTCAATGTAAATTTGCCAAGAAAACACTAGATCGCATGGGGAAAGCAATCATTTCCTTTTCCTGCAGAGAGTTGTTAATGTCCACTCCAAAAATATCCAAAAATCCTGAAACAGAATGATCATTTAGACATATTTTGACTATGGCTTACTTCTTTCTTTGAGGCTAAGACAAACCACTCCCAGCAGGTGGATAAATTACGCGGCATCCACAACGACCATAGCGAGGGCAATCCACCTGCGACTTGGTTGTGGGAAACTCATGGAACATCCAAAAGGGTCATGGAAGGAGATGGCCATCAAAATATGTACTGTACATAAGATTATATCAGGATAGACATATATATAAATTACTTATATAAGTTAGCTATCTATCTATCTATCTACCTACCTACCTATCTACATATATATATATATTATGCTTAGTTATTATGTTTTCATCACAGGAATCCCATTCATGATGGTGGGATGTGGGATGCAAGCACGGGATTTTCGTCGCAGCTCTCCATGCGTCTACATGCGGTCCAGCACCTGACCAACTTTTGTTGAAATCACGTGTGGGAAATCCCTTATGGGGGTTGAATGTGTTGTCAAACATATTGAGCTTGTTTTAGGGTTGAAATGTTTTGGAATTTTTGGCATCAACATAAGCCACTTAGAGCAGCAAAAGACTGATACATTTATGAATATATGATGAACAGATAATCGTTAGATTTTTTCACATGTTGATAAAATGATGTGGAAGAACCCTTACGTGGGGGTGCCCCAAGTTTTTCTTGTCTTTATTTTGCCAAAAGAAAGTTTGGGGCACCCATGGGCACCTCTCTTATGGGAGCACTATGGGCTTCCATTTTGGGAGCACTATGGGCTTCCATTTTGGGAGCGCTATGGGCTTCCATTTTCTGGGTGACCTTTCTACGCATATATATATGATATGTATATATACACGTTACATATATGTATATATATACATATGAGCCAGGCCCCCCCACCCCAATGGCCCCCCCCCTGTGGCCAGGGCCTCCCCTCAATGGTCCCCCTGTGGCCAGGGCGGGGGGCATTATAAACAACCATGCAAGCACGAACCTGGCCATGTAATATATGATACCCCATACAGTGACGAGCAGGCATGTACACAAACATACCTCGATTTCTGCATCAATGGAGAATATATATATATATAATTATATATATATGGATTATAGATATATATAATATACACATATGTATATATATATACGGTATGTGTAGGGTATATAGACGGTATAGATAGGGCAAGTACAGTATATATATAATTATATATATAGGGTGTGCACTGTGCACAGGGTATAGACGAGAGTACGTGCAGCATATAGGGTTTATATAGTGTATAGGAGGATATATAGTATATGGAATCATTTTCGGGATATTTCAGGATAATATGTTGTATAGGTGAACAGTATGTACTCTTTAAGGTCAAATGTAGTTCTACAGTAGTGACTAGTGTATAGTAGACAGGGAAGTATGTATTACACAGTAACCATGTTAGTGCGCTACTTTGGGTCACGTGTGTTGGTGTAGTTTTGCCTGGCGTAGGCTTGGTGCTAGAGCGTCTCACCAGATTGTCATGCTTTTTTGCAGTAAGTAAGAAACAGCTGAGGGTCCTCGCTGCCTTGGTGTTGTGCCCTCACTCACATAGTGTAGGATAGAATCATAGTGTAGGATAGAATAGTAGCCCCGCGGGGAAGAGTGTATGGATGTAAAGAGGCAATAGGGAAGGAGCCTGGCCACTGGACGTGCGGGACGGGAGGTTGGGGGGACCATACCATGGCGGGGGGACCGGGCTCACACATATATATATTATATATATATATATTCATATATATATATGGGAGGGGACTGTTGTGGCCGCCTCTTTTTTAACTATTGTTGTCAAGTTTGTAACTAACCATGAACTATTTCACTGGGAAACCTACACAAAAAAGTCATGAATAACTCTTGAACCATTGTTTAGCCAAATGTCTTGCAATTTTATTTGGTAAGTTCCAGGCAGTCTTGACAAATGTCATGGGACACATATGAAGTTATTTCGTGAGAAACATTATTTGCAGCCTTTACCAAGTTTTGAAAAGGATCTGAAACTTTAGCAGCAATGGCCCTCAGGTTCATTTCATCAAAGTATCTTTGGTTCAGTTAGTGGTCTGCCTAAAAGGTCTTGCATGTGTATATATACTTTTTCTTTCTAAGTTGTCATCCTTGAAAATCACAAATTTTCTTGCAGCAGCAGTTCAAAATCTCAAGCTTTCAGCTTTCCAGGCATGTCAAAATCATTCAAAATCTGTAGATTTTTGGTATGCAGTTTATATGCAGTTTATATGTAGTTTATATGCAGTTTATATGCAGTTTTCAAAACTGCATATAAACTACATGTAGTTTGGTCAAAACTGCATATAAACTACATGTAGTTTTGAAACTGCATATAAACTGCATATAAACTGCATATAAACTGCATATAAACTTCATATTTATATGAAAATTCAAGGGCTGACATGTGGTTTTTAAGGATTTTGATTATACATTTGGACTTGATTCCACTGATTCCCAAACCTTTGGACACCAATATGGACATATAAAATTCATAGTGTGATGCAATCAAAACTGGCAATGCCAGCAACTTGTTTCCTTTCCCAAAACTTTGAAACAATTGCAAGTGCAAAGGCCCAGTGCACTTGTTTACAAAAATGATTGAAGAATCATAAAAGGTTATTTCTGTTCACAAGTAAGTAAGCATCTCTAAAGATCCAAGATCATCATATGTAAATCTCAAGTAAAGAGGTTTCAAGGAACCATAAAAGATTCTTTTGGCTCACAAGGAAACATCTGTACAGGCCCAGGATCATCCCCTACACATGTAAATCTCAAGTAAAGATGCTCTAATATACCACAAAAATCCAAGAACATCACATGTAAATCTCAAGTAAGGATGTTTTAGGCAGGACAATACAAGTTTCTGTTTGTGTTCACAAGTAAACATCTGTACAGGTCCAAGAACATCACATGTAAATCTCAAGTCAAGAGGTTTTAAACAAAACAATAAACTTCTTTGTATTCACAAGTAAGCATTTGTACAGATCCAAGAGCATCACATGTAAATCTCAAGTAAGAATCTTTGGAGGAAACTGTCAGTGAACATATAGAGATTGAAGTGCTAGCTACTATTGGAAAAATGTATATGGAAAATCCAAAACTGTTTCAAGTATCCCCAGGTTTTTGCCTGCAACAAAGAAGCATGTTTCAAATGTTATGGATGCTTGGTCCCAAAATGGTAAAAAGACAATGATATGATCTTTACATGAACCTGCGCCTGGCATAAAGTACTCAGGCTTTGTTTGGAGGGTCACTTGATGGATCCTTAATTGAAGAAACTTCTATGTGCCAATCTTTACTTGTGGATTCAAACAATATGGTATATATTTGATGGATCCTTACTTGAGGAAACTTCCATGTGCTAATGCTTACTTGTGGATTCAAACGACATGGCCTATATTTGATGGATGAGCAGGGAATATAGAAAATTAGCTAACCACATGTTGGAAATTAGTAGTTAAATAGATCTGATGATCTTAGATTAACTTGCTTCAGGAGTCCAGACACAGAGAGAGCGGCGCTAAAAGCCAATAAAGGCAGATGACCAGAGAATATAGAAAATTAGCCAACCACATGTTAGTACTTAAATGTTAAATAGATCTGATGATCGTAGATTAGCTTGGATTAATCTGGATTAATCTGGATTAATCTGGGACCAAAAAAACCAAAAAAAACAAAAAAACAAAAAAAACAAAAAAAACAAAAAAACCAAAAAACCCAATGTTTTGGAGACTAGTCTAAAGATAGCCCTGATCCAAGTAGTCCTGAAAACATTGTTTTTTTTTGTTTTTTTTTGTTTTTTTGTTTTTTTTGTTTTTTTTGTTTTTTTTTGTTTTTTTTGGTTTTTTTGGTCCCAGATTAATCCAGATTAATCCTTGGGGCTTGAACAGATATCAACACACAAGTTATCGGAAGGGAATGTTGTGACACCCAAATCTCACAAGAACACAAGTTATCGGAAGGGAATGTTGTGACACCCAAATCTCACAAGAAGTATTCTTTATACATATTAAGTGTGAGATTTGGGCGGCCACAACAGTCCTTTCTGATATATATATATGAATATATATATATGAATATATATATATGAATATATATATATGAATATATATATATGAATATATATATATGAATATATATATATATATATGAATATATATATATATATAT